TCTCTCTCTCTCTCTCTCTCCATCCCCCACTTCCCTTACACATCCTTCGTAATGTCATCATTCAATCATCAGATAAAAAGCAAATATTATTATCATTTAAAAATCTTCAAAACAAAGTCGGTTTTATTAACTAATCCTGCTTTGCAAAGGCAATTCCCTTAACAAGCGTTCACCGCTCTTCAAACAGGAAGTTCGTGCCTTTGGAAATAAAAACTCCCGTGTTTGCTTTTATTAGATATACTCGACTGAATATGAAATATGAAACTGGTTTGTAATGTGCGTGCGTGTGTGTGTGTGTATATATATATATATATATATATATAAATATATATATAGTATAATTTAATCTAATCTAATCTAACTTAATATGCAGGACCGTGTCAAGGATATTAGCAAATTTGGATACGCCCCTGCAAGCAAACACAAAAACCTACACACTTTATGTGTACACACGCTCATAAACGCGCTTTCACAACACAAAAAGAACGAGCTACCGACTCATACATTCCTAATCCTATTTCTTCAATCATTTTCCCCAACAAACATACACACACACACATACACACACACACACATACACACACACACACACACACACACAGAGAGAGACACACACACAGACACAGGCAAAGACACAGACACACACACACAAACACACACACACACACACACTCGCACGCACGCACGCACACATACGGTAACACACATACACACCTCCCCTTATCAAAACCCACAGTTCCATCACCAGGGTCTTGTGTGTACCCGCTCCTTAGCATGACAAAGCACTCTGTAGACTGACGTACACACAGACACAGGCTGCCTCAAAACACACACACACACACACACACACACACACACACACACACACACACACACACACACACTCACACTCACACGCACAAACACACACCTATGTTTGAGCACAATGATATTCAAAGAGGAAACTAGGTGACCCGGCACGTTCACGCACACAGGTGTGTCTTTGTGTCTTTGTGCCAGTGTGTCTGTGTGTTGGTGTGTTGGGCTGTTGGGGTGGGTTGGTATGGCTATACAAATGTGGGAAAGTACAATATTATTGTGTTCCGTAATAGATTCATGTATGCATAAGTGCGTGCAGGTGTGTGCATTTATATATTTCGGTAGGTTTGTTGTATGTGAGAATGTGATGGTATATATATTTATATGTGTGTGTGTGTGTGTGTG